CGTATCGTTAGTGGCGTGGACAAACGAAATAAATATTCAGGGGCGGATCAAGAAGGGGGGGGGGGGGGCTGCTCAGCTACATGCATTTTTTTGTCAAACAACCCTTTTTATGAGAAAAGTGTCATAATTGTGATTTATCCTTTATCGTCAGATGGTGCGACGGGATGGGCACTCAACCGCGAGATAATGATATAGACATGTGTAATAAAATTGATTCACAATGTGATCATGTTAATTCATAATAAAAATTAATGTCAAACAGGATTTTGGATTTCTCTGTTTAAAAAGCTGAATGTGCATCGCCAAAATGACGATAGGGACCATGTATTTCTCAAAAAATTTCAAGCTGGGGGGGGGGGGAGATACATTGTCTCAAGGAACCTGGCAAAACCCCTCCTGCAAAAATTCCTGGATCCGCCCCTGATATTAGGGGCCTTGGTAACTTTGAACAAGTTCTTATTAAACAACATGTAAAACGAATATCTTCCAAGACAAGCGCGACTAAAAATATTTATGTGGGGAAATGTGACGAATTATGGCCACTCTCGTATGCAAACTTATTGTGTGTCTTCGCAAAAGTATAAGATAGATAAGGTTTACGTACTTATTACTAGTCAATTACTAGGTATGCTGATGTAATTTTCACCAACTATTACAAATAGTGAGATTAATTCATAACAGAACACATTATATCAAACGATACAACATAGAAAGACACAATTTGATATATAATTCTCAGACAATATATTTACATAAACATTAGTATGCTTACTCTTTCTATAACACCTGATACTGCTTTTCGTTTGAAGAATTCACATAGCTAACAACTTGTTTTAGTACTTCTATATTTAAAAACCATTGGTATGGTGCCTGTTGCTGGAATTTGTCCTTAGGTTATCGTCTGCACACTAGCTATCAGATTCCTATTTCTCAGGTCTAACTCATTGCTTCAGTTAGCTATAAGTCGTGGTGGGTGGTGCTTACTCATACTAAACACCTGGTATCACTTCTCATTTGAAGAGTTCACATAGCCTACAAGCGATTGGATTGTATTACTGTTTTATGTGAAGCATTTTTCACTCCAAGCCCGAATTAAGACCGGTTTTCAAACCTAAGTAAATGTTTTCTTGAAATCCTAGATGTTTTTTCTCAATGACCTTAATAACGAGGAAAAAAATAAACGATTATAAATCTACGTAGTTACTGGATATTAATAACTTACACGAACACTACTAATGTAATCTCTGTATCAAATTTCATGTTAACGGAGCAGTCCCAGTTATATGTTCCGGGTAAAACACAATGGCAGACGTTCAGATCTGTTTAGTTTGTGAGTCGAGATTAACTTTTAGTGGTGGTTCTGTCCAATCCGATTGAAAATCAAATCATATATCCAGTCGTCTAACTTTCCAACGCTTGTTATTGTATCCGTATATATAGACGTATGTAAATATTTCTGTAAAATATTGTTTAAACCAAAATCAAATTGTCAGTCTTGGTTAAACCAGGGACGCCACGAACGCATTTTTTTTTTAACTCAGTGCGGCGTCTAGAGGGTTTAAAAAAAGTTGATTCTTATAGCTGTAATACTTATAGAACTAGGTGGGCCATCTCCGGTTACTATTTGTTATAATATCTACTCGAGGTATCTGTTACAGCCATAGTTTAATTTGATCAATAACCATTAAGTGAAGGTGTTCACCTCCGCATGTTTTTTTTTGATTACCATATAAGAGAGAGAGAGAGAAATGGGGTTTAACGTCCACTCGACACAAAGTAGGTCATTTCGGGACTAACATACAGTTTATTTTTTTATTTCAATAATTCGCATTCGCGTAGGGGTCTTTAGCAGTGGGAGAAAGCCGGAGGACCCGGAAAAAACCCAAGAGGTTGGACAGGCGAACCTACTCCTTGTCACGTACAACCAAGGATTCGAAACCACGCCAGTTGACTCAATGACAGGCTTTATGATACAGCACGCACGTGCTAACAATTCGGCCATCCAACCCCCGTGATTACCATATAAGATCATGACGATAATGTCCAAACACAAGATCGGATTATGGGGGCGGGGGATAGACTGGACTGCTTCCAGAAGCCCCAATATTATGGTGCTCGAAAATTAGTTCTAAATTTATTATTATTATTCTAGTTGTTTTGTCGCATATCTTGGTTAACATTATACTTAGAGACCACAGTGGAAAGTGGACCGTTTACCGAATCCTGTGTTATCTCTACATTGTTATATAAAGCATATTATTTATAATTTTATGAGTTTCTTTTAACAAACAAATTGCATCTGCGTCAGTGTGACGGACAATGACCAGAATGTGCCCCTTTACACTGTTGATGCAAGGGCCCCGTGTCTTTGTTAGCCAGTGGCTTCATACAAACTTAATCCGGCCCTGTCCAAACATATGGAAACAAACCCGCATTAGCGAAATACTCGAATTACAAATTCATCTATTGATTAAGGTTCCATCCCTTGCAGGCGAACATATTGTGCAAGATGAATATCCAATAAGAATATCGGTCCAAATATTGTTCAATCACGTTCAGTGTTTACAAAGATACGTTGAATTGAAATTTCTCCGATCTATGCATTTTGCTATGTACATGTAATAAGCCAACCACCATTTTGTTTTGTTGATAATACTTATTGTAAATCCGATTGAATCCAAGCCGGGCGTTTATCTATATATATATTTGTTTTTTGATTTGCTTTTTTAATTAATTTGAGTAGATATTAGCGTAAATTAATCCGTGAGAAATTTGATATTTTAGTGAACGCTTCGTTACTTTAATGATGTTGTTAAGCTAATGGATGCTGGTATATCGAAACTTATTTTAACTATGGATGACCTAGTAGTTCAAAGCCGACCGCCCAAACTGCTATTTTCACTTCAGTCTGTCGCAGCTAATCATGCCATTTTACAGGAAATCAATCGTACGATAGGGTACGATACGACATTCTCACACGCTATGACTTTTGTCCTATATCGGCTATTCAAGATGCTCGTGACGTATCACAAAGAAAGTCGCAGAGTTAGAGGCACACTGATCAGCAGTGAATATTCGCTAGGCCGCTACAACCACTGATAAGGATGCCATCGAGACTTAATGAGCCACAAATATTAACTCTTTTCCCCCGGCAAATTAAATTCTAATACATTGTTTTATAAAGACGTTTGGCGTAGGTAAAAATTATTTCCTATTGAGTGTAAATGGGTATTAAATTGAGTAAAAGACATCATTCTGCCCGAACCAGTAACGTCTTATGTAAACAATACACGCGCCATTGAGCGAATGATTAACGCCGCGTGAAGGTAGTCATCTTTTACAGAGATATAAGAAGACTTTCGTAATCCTCTGTGAAACAGATTGAGTTAGAGGTAGGCGTAACTACAATCGTATTTTTTTCGCCTTTAAATATAACATTTCTTTTAACATTAGTTGCATTGCTTCCTTTGTTTGTTGATAAGGGTTTTGAGCAGACTCCGATATACTGTACCGATTATCGTGTAATCATATATAATGTCGATGTTCTGTCATTTAATCGATTTTTAAAATTGTCCGATTTGTTGACTAAAACTCGATAATATAAACACTGAAGATGGGATAGCGTTAACGTAGTATATTATAGATTATAAAAATTAGGGACTCGATAGTATCCTTCATATTAATCAAGGAAATACCGATCGTTTAACTAAATATAAACAGTATGGCAATTAAACAAATGACTATGCATGTTTTATACTGTTATTACTAGTTCTATTAATATAACAACTTCCTTATTACATTTTCCTTATAAACTTTCTTGTTTTTAAACACACACATTTTTAAATCCCACTTTCTCTACTATATACAGGTCACAATTATATGGAATACATTTACTGCTTATTACTGAGCGACATTTAGACAGGGCTTCTCTAGTCATTATCAAGCAATGATAAAAAATGAAATCTAACATGACAATATATACATATAAAAATGTAAACTAGGTTAATGCTGACCAACCAGAAACACCTTAATATACTGGCAATCGCATCAAAAAAGTAAGATTGTTACATAAATGTACATATTTACCCCGTGTCCTTCGTATTTGATCAATGAGTTTGACTGTCACGTCTCCATATTTTATCATTGGTTGATAATGACGAGACTTTAAACTTTAAAGGGGGTAATCCCAGATATCGCTGTACACCGTAAACGGGATTTAAATGTACAAAATATAATGTCTAAATATGATGATTTAGCCAATTCATGTTGTCTGAATATTTCAAGTTCAAATGTTGAGCCATTGGGAAATGATCGCTAGATTTGGTTAACGGGGTTACATTTAAAAAAATCCTAGTTTCGTGAGTGATTTTATAAACATGCAACAAAGAAAATGGAAAAGAGCATTTGATTTTGTTTTTGATATCCGAAGTCCTTAAATTGTCAACACTATTGTACATGTATTTGTTTCGGTTGGTGATTACGGCCCTTTCTGGTCCATACGTACGGAAATTGAAATGGGATTTATCAACAAACCAGAATGTTTCATATGTTTGAAATTTTGTAAAAGACTTTATTCGTATAAACAACTGTTTTAAAATAAAATCAAAGTATACTGGCAGATCATACGTTTTAAACACACGTTTATATAACGAAAAAACAATATATATCGAGTTTATTTTTCTCGTAAATTAAACTACTAACTAGACACGCTTTCATTCTGAGCTACACAGATTCCACCCCTGACAAGTAAGAACCGGAGTGGAAAAATTCCGATGGATCCCGGAACATTGCTGTGTATTAGCCACACGACTACAGCGTCACAAACAATGTTAGAATAATACATATCACATCAACAGATATATTAACACTACTTAACTTCAAGGTAGCGACAATATTAAACAATAATACCATTGTACATCAATAACAAGAAATTAAATACCACTGTACTTCAATAACAAGAAATTAAATAGTTAATATAAAAATATAATAATCAAACTTACTGACTATATATCCATGACCGCTTTGATAATATGTTTTAACTCCACCATCCCACTAAATAAACTCTATACATGTGGTAGTGTTAGGGGAAATCTGCTCAAATCACTATCTATAATGTATTAAAGAATATATTGATTCGCATGTAGAACCAGTCACGTGTGTCTTGTGTCGAGTTCTATAATGGTCTGGTTATATTCTCGACTGTTTAATTACTAAAGTCTACAGCCATTATTGAGTCATTAGAAGAGACCGTCCAACTGATTCTGTATTACAACAAAAGATGTATAATGGCGACGGCTACTCGGATCAACTTTTAGAAAAATGATAGTACTAACTTTAATTAAAGAATGCTTTAGTGACGTCATAAATACAACCAGAGCTTGCAGTATGGTGTCCCCATGCTTGAAAATGCTGATAATCGTTTTAGTAAATCGGTAAAATTTGTTTATTTTGTGTGTCGAACATCACAGTTTTCACTTCCTTTTCCCCCCTAGAATTTAAACTATTCAGTTGGCTTTTAAATGCGTTTCAACCTCGTGGGTTTTATCCGGGTCCTCCGGTTTTCTCCCACTGCTGCTAAAGACCACTACGCGCAAGCGAATTATTGAAATAAAATTAAACCATGTTAGTCCCGAAATGACCTAGTCTGTGTCGAGTGGACGTTAAACCCCATTTCTCTCTCCCTCTCTTTTTTAAATGCGTGGACACCCAGTGATCACATGTACCCAAGGGAACGTATAATATTGATATGATTGATTTTTTGGTCTGTATTGTCTATTTGCAACAAACTGTTTTTTGTCACTAGGGCGCCCACTTGAAACATCATGTTAAACTACCCATGCAATATTCCTAAATGGTGTGCTTCAATGGATGGTTGATATATAACTTATTTCAAACAAAGCCTGAAGTCGACTTATTCTATCCTGGTACTGTTTTTTAATGACGCGGCAATAATCTAGCCCGATATCTTAATAGGGAACAGCTTCCTGTTTCCCAGGTTAACCCGCTCCGTGCATAAAATACGAAGGATGTCCGTGCATAAATTACGAAATAACATACAAGGAACTGAACTTATCAAATTTCTCTTGTAGTCGCGATCAGTAGGTTGAATTAAAGTCACTTGATGATAGACCAGGGTCCGTATTCAAAGGATATCTTAAGTCTAAGATAGTCACTTAACTACTAGATTTCACTTAAATATACGTCTTTCGTAACTTCCTGTAAGTTAAGCGTAAGTGGTACTCAAAGGCAGTGTTAAGAATCGAATTCTCCCTTAAAGTTAAGCTGACTTAACTTATAAGTGTTTAGTCTTTTAGTGGTATTCAAAGGCCAGTTTAAGTGAGAAAAATCCACTAACTTTAAGTAACCTATGGGAGGTACCTTAAGGTTAAGTGAGATTATAATGACCTCTTTTAACCGAAATACATATTATGCCCCCAGTGAGTGTCCTTGTAGACAAATATAACAATAGGCGATATGAAATTGAATAGGCCATTATTATTAATAAATGACAGGAAAATATATAATATATGTAATAACAATAATGTAACAAAAATAGACTAGAACACAAAAATACCACGTTTGGAATGATTATAATGAATTTAAATACTGATTAGCTAAATACATATTTTGTTAATACATAATGTAGTAGCAGACTCGTAATTGCGATTTTAAAAGTTAGGGAATTTAGATTGAAACAAAGACAAAGGCGCTGAGCATAGCTGGCATCATACGTTTTTTTTATCACCAGCTTTGATTTTGTATCATGTTCGTATTGCTTAATCAACCATGTTTGCCACGAATGTCATATAATAAAGTTTGATGCGTTAAATTTATTTGTAAATTTGACATTGCGATGACATTCCATTGTACATTTCAGAAAATATTAATAGGGCCACGAGAAGCAAGGCATGGTTTATTTTTTACAATTCATTCCCATATACATATTTGAAGTTTTGATTGCTACATGTTCTTGTCTTCGTTTGTATAAATTTACAAATATATGATGATGGCTGCTGACCGAAGCGTACCACTAATGATTTACAATGTACCGTCATGGGGGCCAGGCCTTTGGGATTCTAAAGTTTAGGAACTGACACAATTTCTATGGATTTCTCAAATGGTAGATTGATAAACAACGTCGAATGATTTGTTCAGTTTAATTTAAAGAAAAAAGGTCTGCGTATTGCTCTATTTTCTATTCGTTATAATAAAGTTTACAATATCCATCCACTATTCGATAACTGCTATTGAAATCTATTGTTTTGAAAAATATCTATACGAAAACAGCTGTTCCGGTAACGGATGCGTACCATCATATTTTATCATAAATTATAGTCATACTATTTTCGTGCGTTACACTATAATATTTCGACAAACATTTTCCTAGTAATGACAACTACGATTTTAATAGAGTATAGTGGTGCTCTTAAGGGGACATAACTTGCGTGCGAAGTGAGTAATTCGTGATTTTTGGCAGTGGAGGTTATTCCAGAAGTTAAAAATTCATGCTTTTTGGCTAATGTTGATATTCCATATTTTAAGTGTGCATTTAAGCTTTTCACATAGCCAAGTATATGTAAAACAGAGCCTTTGAATACAGATTTAAGGTAAGACACTTGGTTAAGTGGATTAATTAAATATTTATACTGAACTTGTGTGTAGCTTGCTCTCGCCTCACATTTTGTCATAACTTCTATTTTTCGATAAGTAGAAATTACGAATGGTAGTTATAGGCTTCCATAATCCAGCCATTATTGTTGGATTTTCTCAATCAATTAACGTTAGTATAATGACGTGACCTTTGTTTTTGACAATTAATCCATCTGGCCAGGTACGAACTAATTCCATTTAAAATTGTTTGCATTGATTTTAGCAGCAGTTAGCGTTAAAAGCACCGGTATTTACAGAGCGCTTATATTTTATATAATAACCTTTGTTTCATATTTTCCCTTGAGCGCTTACTATTGTGACGCGGACGTCACAGAAAGAACTTTTTTCTGACGTGTTAGATAAATACCTGATTACATACTGAAGTCAGTAATACAGCCAACAATAGATAAAGGGAAACTCAACATGAAATGAAATGAAATAAAATGGGATAAAACGTATTACTGTTCTATACCACCGGTCTATTGAAAACGGACAGTTTGCTATGATGGAAGTTTTTCCCGGAAATCGGCGTTTCCGTCAGTTCATCACAGAGTTCCAACTAGTCTCTATCATCCAGACGAATATATGTTGAAGACTAGGGGGTTCTGGGTGACCGAGACTAAGTTCCAACTGTCAGTGTTTTTTTTAACTTGCACACCGACGTGTACAAGGGACCGCGGTTTTTCGCTGGACGCTGACTTATACTGAAAATGCATAAAGTAAGAGCTAAATCTGCATACTGCAGACTATGGGGTGGCCGTGATGTTGAATGGATTCGAACACTTTAAAATGGTTAATCGAGAAATTGTTAAATATCGTAGCAATGATAATTGGTAATCGAGACTATCTTTTTAAAACTCCAAACACTTGTAACTGCGCTTGGAGTAATATATAATGTGATTGAAATTTTACATCCAATTTGAATTTTCTTTTTTTTAACTATTATAGTAAGAACGGTTAGCCCTGTAACTAAATCTTACATAATGCATCTTTAACTGGCGTAATTTAGAATAATTGGCACACGTAGTGCCCATTAATCGATTGGACAACAATTTCAACAATTTACACAATACGTTATTGTCGTATGTTTTATAAACAAGACACGAAATCTACTGCAGGCCATTCCGATCAATATTTTTTATATAAAATTAAGGGGGCGGGGTTTTATAGTTCTAAATAAAATCAGTCTCAAAATCAATGGTAGCCAAAAAAAAAACACGCTAAGACACGCCACACTACACAATATAGGAATAACCATAAGGCTTACATCTCAGGGGGATTGGGGTGGCCTAGTCGTCGCGCTTCCAGTTCTAGCTGGCTGGTCACCCCTAGCTTGCGATCGAAGGTTTCTATCCCTGATGTGAGCACATGTGGCTTGGGGATAGGGGCGCCTTTTCAACCTCGTGGGTTAATAAAATAAGACACCTTGTCTGCAATATCAAAATCGGTGGAAGCAGAAAGTTAAACAATAATGGCACCTAGAAATGGATACAAATGGGTCGCAACATATATAATGATATAAACTGATTTACATTCAATCGTATCTGTATTTTTGTAATACTATAGGGGTTATTTTAGTTCTAGGAAAGTTGCTCTGTTTAATATATTAAAGTGATTAAACAAATGGGTGACAACGAGAAATCGGCTAAAGTAAGTATTTTGCAAGATTCAACATTCTTAGACTATCTCATAGACAGTCGCTGCCATCATCAATTGCTGAAAGTAGGGTAATATCGTCCAGCCATGACTGACGTGCACAGATTAGTCCATTTAAGTAGAATAATGTTGACGTAAAACGTTGCTCATACGAAACACTTACCCAAAAATGGTAATTACCCCGCCCTAATAGCTGACATATTTCCCTTCAGACATCCGCGATCCTAGAGAAGACATCATTCGGAGTTCCCACATACCCACAGCCTCCTCGGCTTAGAGGCTAGGGTGAGGACATCATCTCGTATTCTCAGAAAGTCGTTCCCACAGCCTCCTAGGCTGAGAGGTTGGGAAACACCGCCGCAAAACACAAGCTAGGGGATAGAAAACTTATATTTCGCTTATATATAATGTCATAGATGTGTGTGTAGTTTCCTGTATATAACGTTTGTATTATCGATGTTTTATTCGATATATTAACTTAGTTACAACATAAACAGTGTTCCAGAGTTAATTGATCATATGCACAACGGGAAGTCAAAGTTAGTACCGAATTGATCATGGTGTCACCCTAGTATCACGGCCGTTTTCCGGAAGTTCCTGATTAAAGTCACTGTAATGTCTAATTAGTCATGTTCGGCGAAATACTCGAAGTGTGCAAATTGAATGACAGTCTTTGGCGTCTGGTTATTCCAGTCTACACAGGTAGTATTCTCCTGTGGGATATGTTTAGCCTCGTTTATCGAGTCGCTTCATTACAAATGGCACTCGAAAGCATTCTGGCACGCGATTCTTGCGCCAATTTTATAATTTTCATTTTGTCTTAAATATCAGAAGCCCATCTTTTCACGGTAAGATAACAACATCCATGTTGATTTAAATTGACCAAGAAAACGTGTTTACAATGTCGAAGACTGTGGATGATATTGAGTTAGCGACGTGCCTCTTTTAAATCTAATTTGGCATACATAAGTCGACCCGATTGGCAGAATTAATCTATAAATAACTTGATTTCGATTTCAAGCAACCTTAAAATAGTATTATTTCAATGCAGCAGTGTGTTCAGTGATTTCCCGTAGGGCATCATCACTAGGGTATTATCTACTTTTATGTGTGTGCAAAGGAGCTTTTCTTAACGTCCGCTTTTACCGAAGTGACATCGCCGACTTCTATATGCTACCTTCTGGTTTAATCATTTTGCCGGTATAATGTTCAAAGGCCACGAAGCACATATTTCCGGAAATGACGTAGTTAGTGCTAAGTATGCGTTAAACCAAATTTCCCTCTCTCTATATCTACCCGTCTTCATTAACCCAGTATAGGAGCAGAACAGTAGGACGTTAAACCCCATTTCATTTCATTTCTATTACAACACTACTTTTGGTTTAACGTACGAGTTAAGGGACAATGTTGGTGTCAACCATTATCACATAGAAACAAGTCCGTGCATAATTACCTTGTTTTTATTAAAGATACATTATGGGAGATTAGATAAAGAGCTGGCAGTTCTCACTATAATAGTTAAAAAACTAGATAATGTAAAGGGAATTTGCTAAAAATGTCAATCAAATTGATCCACTCTGAACCGAGATTTTAGCGATTGAATTTGGGGCCTAGCCTCGATCATCATTACTAAAATCGATACGATAAAAAAACATAGTATCGATGATCTATTTTTTGATTTAATTATCAATGAGCGTTAAGCAGCAGATATGATTCTAATCCGGAAAATATCGCAGGCTAGCGTGATATCGAGAGTTGATTATGGTCTAGATAAATTTATTACTGTCTAATTAATAATTTAAATAACATTTCAGCCCTAAAGAAAGACGTGCAATTGGCAACTTTAGCTCTTGCATAATGTATGTTTAAGTAGAAAAGGAATAAAAATAAGGGAATGCACGGGCCTTTTTATAAATTGTCCGACATCCTCTTACAGTCTCATATAACAACCTTTCGTCTTCGAAGATTCATCACCGATCAGAAATTCGACCGTGTATCTGTTATGGTTCGTTACTTCAGTCAGTTGTATATAAGGACAACTTGTATTTTCCATTTTTGCATCACTTCTCATTTCTTCAAATCTTCGTTACGCATCTAACGTAGCAATGATCTCTGTGTTGAAATTATATTTGGAATGTGTTTAACCAGTTCTATTATATGTGATATTGGCTGACACCAACATTGTCCCTTTAAGAAGACAGTTGTATTATTATACAGGTCACAATTCTATGGAATACAATTACTGCTTATTACTGAATGCCATTGAAACAGTTGTATTATTACTTTCTTCAAGCAACTGAAACCTGACCTAAATTGCTGAAAGAAATTAGTCTCTCAACAGTTACTTCCCCTTTATGCACAGTTTGATCAATTAATGACAACCAGAAATGAATATAAACAAGCACCTGGAGAAAACACGGTTGGGCGAGGATGACATCATGAGTTTGTTGTTGACAAAACAGTCTTTATAGTCTCCGAATCGGTGTGCCAAAACAAAGCTGCTATCAATGTCGGATAAAATGAAATTCCCCTTTTTATATTCAGAATGAGAGAGAAGGGGAGAGAGAGAGAGAGAGAGAGAGTTGGGGTTTAACGTCCACTCGACACAAAATAGGTAATTTTGGGACTAACGCATGGTTCAATTTAATTTCAACAATTCGCTTGCGCGTAGGGTCTTTTAGCGGTGGGAGGAAACCGGAGGACCCGGAGAAAACCCACGAGGTTGGACAGGCGACCCTACTTCTTGCCACGTACAACCGGGGAATCGAAACCACGCCAGCTGACTCAATAGGAGACCTTATGATAGAGCGCGCACGTGCTAACCATTCGGCCATCCATCCCTCTCCCCATATTCAGAACGGACAGCTGCTTTTCAGCCTACACCTCGTCAACAACCAATGGATAATTTACGTACACTAATTCTCTGTACCTCGGATTTACTCACCTAATTCCTTGTCAGCGACAATCGCGATATCAACTATATACATGAGGGTTGAGATGGGGGTCTACTGTCCTACCCTCAAACCCGTGCCTAGTATCCGTGTACTACCTTTTATGGAGTTGTATTTCAGCCACTTCACGCGTCGCCCGTCGCTTTTTTTTAAAGGGCCACGCTCGACGGAAAATAACGGAAACCATACCCACGTCGTTATCAGTGCCTTGTCATCGTTTGATTAACTATAGCGTATGTCTGTATCAGAGAGAGAGAGAAAGAGAGAAATGGGGTTTAACGTCCACTCGACACAAACTAGGTCATTTCGGAACTAACATATGGTTCAATTTCATTTCAACAATCCGCTTGTGCGTAGGGGTCTTTAGCAGTGGGAGGAAACCGGAGGGTCCAGAGAAAACTCACGAGGTTGGACAGGCGACCCTACTCCTTGTCACATACAACCAGGGAATCGAAACCACGCCAGTTGACTCAATGACAGACCTTATGATACAACGCGCAGTTTTACTATATGTGTCTAAGGATGTATATTGCCAAATCAGCTCTGTAGAACATAAAAGAATACATTATGATATTTACCTGTTTATACAAACAATAAAATACATAAAACAATTAAATATTCTAAATTACTTAAAAACTGGATACTTAATTTAGCTGTACATCAAATGTTATTCACCATTCACAGACGCCATCAAATGAAAATATAATGCACCTACCTTCCTTGTGTCCAATATAAATTACTGTATTGAAGATAAAATACCAAACGGCAAATAACTGTAAATGAATTCTCCTTGTACATGCGCATATCATCACCAAAACCATAAACAATATCGCCTTTTGAAAGGAAATGAAATGAAATGAAATGGAGTTTAACGTCCTACTGTTCTGCTCCTAACCTGGGCTAATGAAGACGGGCATACGCCATACAGTGTGCAATGAGGGAAATTTTGCCCGGACAGCGGCACTACGGCCTACTCTTATATCGAATTCCAACTGCCAAGGGATCTTTTACGTGCACGCCAATGTGTACACGGGGCCTCGGTTTTTCGTCCCATCCGAACGACTAGACGGCTTTCCTTGTCAGCCCCTCCGTCCTGCATCACTGACAAGGGAGAACCACGCCGGAAAATCTGGATGAACTTTCTCGGCCAATGCAGGGATCGAACACCCGACCTCCAGGCTAGCGAGCTAGCGTCTTACCCACTTAGCGCTTTTTGAAAGGAGACGTCGTGTTAAAAAATCAACGAGCAGAACAGTAGGACGTTAAACCCCATTTCATTCCATTTCGTATTTATATGATATCCATTAATATTTAGAAATTACGCCATGTCTCTAGTGATGACCACCGTAGCCGAAGCTCGGTCCAGAATCTACTCGTTTTCACGTAAACTTGATAAAAAAAACCCACTTTTATCAAAAAGACACATACGCAGCAATCCCAATTCTTGATTGAATTAGTTTTATTTAAATAAACAAATATAATAGATAATTATATTTTATTTCTTAATTAATCAATAAAACATAATAGATTACGTATTCTTTCAAACATGTAACATAAACAATGTTTATTCCTTAAAAACTTAAAGTCTCTCGTCGATTTCTAAAAGGAATATCGACCCATAAATATTTCAATTCTGTTCGGTCTTTACAAAGTTATGATGCATTGACAATAATTGCCAACATTCGGAATAAAAACAGGATAAACAAACCAGTGCCAGCGCTAAAATCGTTTGGCTGTCCTCTTTTTAATCCGATTAAATCCAACTCGGGTGATGATTTACCGTTGATGTTTTGATTTCATTTTTGTTTGGTGGGAAAAATTAGATTTTGTCCGAAAAAAGCAAATGGCGATCATCGGCTTTAATAAAATTTATAATATATATATATAAATATATATATGCATATGGAATAAATATTATATGTGTATAACAAATAAAATTACTTATTTCTTAAACTCTTAAAGCCTTTTAAGGGATTTTAAATCCCTTGGAAACTATAGATCTCCAAAAGCAATGTCAGTTTTGCTTTCTTTCTTAAATGTTAAATAAGCAGTCTGAGTACATTTTAGATAAATACATACAAAAATAGATATTTTCAAAAATGCAAAGGATCAGCGGCTTTAAAAGATAAAAGTAGCATATTCATGAAAAAACGTTATACTATGTGTGTAAACCAAAATAATCAATAAAAATTATATATTTATATGTATATCTTAAGTGTAAACCAAAGCAACGTATGTGTTTCTTGAATATGCATTATGTAAGATTTACACGAAGACTTGGCCGTTCTTGCTATAACAGTTCAAAAATTGATAACACAAAATGAATATATTGAAAATTACTTTATTCTGAGCGAAGTTATGGGCACTGGAAGATGTAGCTTAGTATGTTTATTATCGTAGGAACGGTACTGGACAAGTGAGACTTAGTCTTGACTATCAAATTTATCGTTAAATCTGGCAGGCATTCTTATCTATTTAAATCTCTACCATCCGATGATCTAGAGAGTTGATTATAGGCTTGTCATTTTAATAAATGTCTAAATAATAGTTTATATAGCATTTGAAATCCGAAACCAAAATAAAAACCTCTAATATTCAGATTTAGCTCTTACATAATAATGCATCGTTAACTTGTTTTACTTCTAATCTAAACAAGAACAAAACATAATAGTTCAATAAAATAGACTTGTAAATGTAGTTCTGTTCTAAACTCCAGGCTTCGACTGAAACAGATGCTGCTCTAGACAAAATGGCGTTCGTGTCTTTTAAAGCAATTCGCGGATAAGTGCCAATAAACTTCAAAATATGATTCGTACGACGGTAACCGTTGGCAACAGACTATTCGGAAAACATATCTGTAAGAGTTATCCCCCTTTTAAAATGAGAATTTTTATCAGAACAAACTGCAATTTATAAACAAAATTTTCTCGAGGTCATTTTGAAACAGCCAATAAATGATATACACAACACCCTAACTAAAGCTAAAGTATATATTTCATTAAATGAAAAGCCCAGTAATTGAAATTTCTTTAACTTCATTATCAAACATTGATTCGTTAAAGAATGATGAAAAGGATTGCATTTCAAGTTCTGGAATGTAGAAATGTTATTTATTCTAGGCAACCAATAAAATGTAATAGATTTGACACGGACGGACTTCACCCTATATATAGGTGTCTGTCGAGTGAGTGCATACAGAATACCTTTGTTTAACGGTATGTTGAACAGCCCGGACCAGAAAATCTTGTCCTTAATATTGGTACTTGATTTTGTCATGGTACGTCATTTTAAGCCTAGATGATTGGCGTACTTTATTTTATTATTTTTATTCCCGACGGCAATATCTAGTGGAATTATTATTACAAAATATTATGTACATGAATTTTATTAATTTTATTGCCTGTATGTTACCATTAAAAGCTGATCAACACACGCGTAATAGAACAATGGTCGCCTTTGTTACCCGTATTTAAATCGCCCATTGCTAATAGAATGATTACAGTGGTGCAAGTTCTAGAATTTTCTGAAGATTAGGCCATGAACTATGAAATGGACTGTTCTGCTCTGCTTGGGCTAATTCATGAACCTGGAGGCGTAAAATGCCTCAAAAATTCTGACGCAAATACAGACAATTTTACCCCAAAGCTCCGAAATGGCGACGTCACATTATCAAACGATTTGCGTTAGGACCGTGGTCCTGAAAAAATTTCTACTCTCATGTGAGCTGTCACTTTATATTCATCTTATACAATGCCCACTGACTTCTAATTATTGAGCTTTTCATCAAATATTATGTAAATGTGGTCATCACTTCGAAGGTACTGAACATTTTTTATTGAATTGCTCCTTACATTCAGATGCCCGAAATAATACAATTAATAATTCACCGACTATCCATCAAAACACTACTGTCTTACTGCACGGAATTGACGACATAGAAAACTCACTCAATATTTTTAAAATTGTCCACTCGTTTTTCGAAATCACCAGTCGCTCCAAGGGACAACTATGACGCACTTATTGTAGCTACATTTTCACTTGTACATTATTCGCCCATTTCTAAAATGTAAATCCATTCCATAGACAGCTGTAACACAATCACTGTAATCATATTTTCATGTGTACATTGATTATTTATTTCTAAACTGTAAATACATGTATCTATATCTGACAGGGAGAGGGGTTTAATATAGGCTATGCCTGTTCCCCAATCCCTATTCAGATACAAATCTGAATAAAAATATTGCTTAAAAAAAAACCCCAAAAAACATTATGTAAGTAAATAACAGTATATTATGTAACTAATTTCCATGATTAATTGATTAACTAACATACCTAATAGGTTAATTTCTGGTAATTAATTAAATTATGGAAGTTTTAAATTGGCCCCGTATCTCACTCACTTACCCTATACACGGCTTTATACCCTTCAATGGACAATGGATGATGATCTGAATTTGAATTGCGCTATTTGCATCCAATAGATTGTCCCGTTTCATCTTCAACCACATTAAAAATAAAAGTAGCACAGAGTGAATTCGGGATCGCTTCAATCAAACAAATACCAGAATATCATCTTACCCAATTATATATCCCATACTGTCAAGTTTTCGCTCGAAAACCTCAAAGACTGTTTATCGAATCACTATATAACTAGCAAATCAGCTAAAATATAGTAATTGAAACCGAATGCATTCAAAAGGATTGCAGTTGTCAAATTCTTAACTCATCATTACATCGAATTCTATTGACTTCTACACTCTGACGAATCTTGTATTTCTATCGTTTATTTTTGTTTTGATGATCAGAGTTTCACTGAAGATACGTCATGTTTATTTCATCTCCCAGAAGGACACACTACTTTATCCCATTCACCTCCAATTTTTATTTCATTGGGCACCTCTTAATTCAAACAGACTGCACGAATACGAATATTCTCAAATTCTAAACTCATCATAACCACACCTTTTTGTTGGAAACAAGTGTGATGCATGATCCAAACTAACTGCAATATGAATATCCTTATCCAGTTGGAAACTTTTTAAAGATGGTCAACCTTCGGAAGTTTCAATCTGAATCAGTGTCCTCACATGTTTGTTTAGGTAAAGTTCCAATTGCGTCAAGCACCGCCGTGGACGCGTCATATCGTTCCATTTTCTCCAACATTTGGTGCAACTCAACTAAAGAGCTATATTTTGTCTCAAAAAGGTCCAGAAGTGTAGTTGTCGGACATGGCAGAGTGTCCAGGAAACGAATATCACACATTCCTAATTCACACCCAAAATCGCGCCAGTCTTTTCCAACTTCAGACTTAGGAGCTAACATCTGAACAAGTTTTCTTCTTAGGTCCCACGGAATAACAAAACGTGGCTCCAAATCTATTTGTTTTAAATAATCACCCGGACGTTGTCCCTCGATATTTACATCCAACACCTTCTCTTTTCGGACACTGATGCATACTCTTTGATTTGATTTAGAAGAAATGTTCACCTCATCAAATCCTTGATGAATTCCCACATTTGACTCCGCCATTTGTATCACAATTTTATCAGCTTCATTTTGAAATGATTCTTGAAAGAGGGAAAAATTTAAGTTGATTTCTTTTGGTGTTTGCCTCAAGTCCTCACTCCTTGCGAAGCACACGGCGATATAAGGGCACATGCCGTGCCACACTTTTAGAAATTGAACTTTTTCAAATGATCGGTTATCCACCACGGACCAATCTCGAGAAAGGTACTGAAGCTCCAGCTGAACATCTTCCCGGGACCCACGTAATAAAAACACTTTCTCAGGACAAGCTAATTCGGCACTGAATCGCGATTCATTGTGTTTAGCCCATTCCAAAGCACACGGAGTTTTATTTAAAAAGTAGATCCTAAACTGATGATGAGACATCCCTTGTCTTAATGGAGATGCAAATACGGCCACCTGTAGCCACTTCTTGCCGTCCCCACTTTGGGGAGTCTGAATGGAAGTGAAAAGGGTGAAGTGATCAATCAGTATTTGACATTCGTCTTGGGAAACTTGACATTTGCCGTCTTGTTCATCTGCTTTGCAGCAGACGTCCCACTTCTTTGTTGATGCAAGTTCTGTCTGACTCTCCATTATCGTTATGTCTCTGGGGTCAAACGCGCAGTGCTTGTATCTGAGTAGAGCTGGTTTTTGAAGTTTGACACCGTGGGGGCCACAATAAACGACGGGGCTAACAAGTGCCTGTGTTTCTGTCATGTACGGATTGTCGGAAAGATCCCAGTTGAGGACCAGAATGATCAGTTGCTTCTCATCCCGTGGGATCGCTCCAGTAGGGATGACGAGGGAGATACCCATATTGTCTAAAAAAAGCGTCGCTCCCACATAACCGACTTCTTTGGTAATATAAACTAAAAGTTTGTTGCTAATAGTTCGGATCTGGCTCCGTTCCGTGGGAATCAGTAGCTCCTTGGGAGTTTCGGGATAGTATTCAAACATTCTGCTTCCAAGCTCACTTAAAGACGAATCCCTATGAATACAGGAGGGAGTACTTATAGCTCCGTGTCGCTCGTTGTTTATGTGTACACCCTCACCCGGATCCTCGATGTGGGTAGGCAAAGAGTTGTTTTCTCCTTGTGTTGCAAAATGTCTGCACCGATTATTCCAATAACGATGACTGACGTTATCTAGTCCTAAAATATTAGTATGGGGAATTCCAGGAGATCCTAAGCGTACAGCCTCGGTACTTTCTATCCATGTTCCTTCTGATACTTCAGGTGGTTGACGGGCTTGCACAGAGTTGTACATTGTAAAAATGTCTGGACGATTGTTGCATTCTCTTTGCGAAGGATGACCGACCGTCTGCAGCATGTTCCTACAATCCCCACGGGATGACGATGGGCATGTTTTAAAATGACATTTCCACAAAAAGTATCCAATAAATAGAAAGAAAAAGAGTGTGAGAATCGCACCAATGTATATTAACACTACATAATTATTATTTCCATTATGAACGTCATCGCCATCTTTAGTAGGCATACGACCTGGCAAATCGGCCCATGCTACAGAAATCTGAACCGTAAGAGCAAGGGTATATGTATATTTAATACTTTTCTTATGGTAAATAATTATGAATATGTTTTCAGCCATGACAGTCCAATGTTTTAGTTCGCAACAAAGGTGTCGGGTTCAAGTATCTCATGCACCATACTCTGAATTATTATTCTCTATGTATTTGAAACGATCTCACCATTCAGTTTACTTTATCCACCAGTTGCTAAGTTCTGACCAGCGTCATCTACAAAATAAATAAATAGTAATTGAATAAAACATGACTTAATACAAATTTGAAATATTAAATAAATGAATTTGAAATATAAATAAATGAATTTGAAATATTAAATAAATGACTTTTTGGAAAAATATATTACAAAATGAATGAATAAAAAAAATGAATGGAAAATGAATGGGAAAATGAATGAAAAATGAATAGAAAATGAATAAAAAAGTAGCTGAATGAAGAACGTTTTAAAAACGGAATAAAATGACAATGACTATAAAAAACTAATTCATTGTTTTGGATCAATACAACAGTTTCAGATCAATGATACCCTCTGTTTAAAATAATCCATCTTTGAATTTGGCAATATTCATACTGAAAAACATTTGGAGATGATAACTAATCGTTTAAGGATATGTATCAGTTAAATCGGACATGGCCGTCTATCTATGTTGGTTTTCAAAGGTGTTTCGCTATGACTGGGGATAAGGTAGGTTAACTAAGTAAGTCTAATAGTCAAGTGCTAAACTTCCAATCTGATTAAAACACAGATCCCATTTCGTTTCGTTTTTATAGTTCAAAATTTCGTTTTACTCATCTTTGCTACACTAGTATCTGGACGAGTTGTTATAAAACAGGCCTTCTACTTGATGTGAGGAATTAGCCAATTAAACGGTCTGTTACGGCGAGTTCTTGGCGTTTTTATGCACGGGACTCTGGGTAAACCACTAGAAACGACAACGCTGACGTCAACTCCCACTATAACTAGTCAGATCTTCATGTTGTGTAAGCCACGAAAGTATAAAATAACGAAACGAAATATAGATCTGTATTTTAATCAGATTGCTAAACTTCTATTCTTCATGGGTATGGTATCGTGGTAGACTAGCGAGAGAGAGAAATGGGGTTTAACGTCCACTCGACACAAACTAGGTCATTTCGGGAGTAACATATGGTTTAATTTTATTTACATAATTCGCTTGCGCGTAGGGGTCTTTAGCAGTGGGAGGACCTGGAGAAAACCCACGAGGTTGGACAGGCGACCCTACTCCTTGCCACGTACAACCGGGGATTCGAAACCACGCCAGTCGACTCAATGACAGACTTTATGATACAGCGCGCGCACGCTAACCATTCAGCCATCCAACCCCCCTGGTAGACTAGCGCTGGACTGTCAATGGGCGCTGTACTGTCGATAGCAGAATGTCCTTGTTTCAAGTTGGTGCCTGCAGGAATGACAAATACCACACCCCGGGGAAGTAGCTTCTACCGCGAATTGCAAACGCAATAATAGAAATTAAAATCACCATAAGCCTGTCTCAAAATGACCGGCACCGACTATCCCGAAAATTTTTATGGTGATGGTAAAAATGATAATATCGCTTTAAATTGTGTAATATATTATGTGCTCGAACTATAAATCGTCGAAATCCAATTATACATGACTAACTTGACGGCGTCACATAATATCCGACGGTTATCTATAAAAAAAATTATTATACGGTAATGGTTTAAAGAGGCAATATGACAGAAGGCTAATAACAAATTTTATTATTTATGGGCGTTTGGGTGGCCGAGTGGTTTACTGGGTGAATAAGGTCTGTCATTAAGTCAATGGTTAGGATGACAAGGAGTAGGGTCGCCTTCCTAACCCCGTGCGTTTTCCCCATGTTCTCTGGTTTCATCCACAACTACAAACATCTGTGCACAAGCTTGTTATAGAAATAACATGCCCGATAAGACTTATTTTTTCAGTATGTTTAGAAAGTATCAAACGTAGACGGGTTGACTATTAGAGAATGACAATGTTCGGATGGTAGAAGACATAACATAATCCATGGAATTCGAAAGGAGTATGTGGAGATGCTCCTCCCTAGCAGTGCAACATTTAATATAATTAATCGTATTTTAGTCTCAAAATGATAAAATCACTTAGCTGACGAGTCGTTAAAATGTAAGATGGGAATGAAGTCAACATCATACGCACATGAGACTAACATAATAGTTATTTTGTTGTATGGTGACATAAGTGTTTTCGCCTATCTTTTATCAAATTCAAGGGTTCCTCTACGTGTGTACACGTGTGGATCTTGGATTTTAGTTTGATCCCAACGATACCCATGTTGTTTTTATAAACAATATTTATTCAGGTTGCCTGAATGGGATTGGGGAACAGGCTATGTCTATGTAAAACCCATCTCCCTGCTGACACACGGGAACCGAGCTTGAAGAATCCAAAGACATTGCTCGACTTCAATAATATTTGCAAATTAATACATGCATAACAGGACACTCTTGTCATTTGACATCCGATGGAACCATGCCATAAGTTTGTGCCACAGACGCTGTTTCTATTTTTTGATAGAGAGTTTCTATTTTAAAAGCGAGTATGGTTTGTCTAATATACATTGATGTTTATGTATGGTGGCAAAGAAAGTGGTAAAATAAGTTCGTCTATCTTTTATATGAAGAAGGAAACGAAAGAAACTATACGATTAGACAGGCAACCACATTCTTTGTCACGCATAATCACACTTACGGCTTGCTTTGCATAGATGAGATTCTTGTGAATAGACTTGAAACGATAGAGCACCACCTCATTGAAAAACATTTCATTCTCTTTCTGTAACTTCCAACAATAAAATGTCAGAAAAGTAGTTGAATGTGCAATGTCCTTGTGCAAAATTATCAGTGCCTATCAATATTACATAAAAATATGGTATGTAAAAGGATGAATTAGCAACATTGCAAGATTTGATAATATTTGGCAATAAAATACACACTGATAATTTTGTTACTTAATATTTATTTGTTGCCATCAATCTAAGACATGTCAGTTTTATAGCAATTAAGATTTCCGTCAAGTGCTGCCAAAAATCCATTTTCGCGAGTGTGTTCATGAATAGTTGTCAGAATCATAAAAAATCTCTTAACAAAAAAACCCCAACAACATTGTGCCTAAAGTCTATTATCTTTATATTTATATAGAAAGGTGTGAGAGTGGGCGGGCGGGGAGGGGGGGACAACCCTTCTGAACCCACCTCTCAATCGATCCATAAATGTACTAAAGGCGCGATACGCAAATTCTATACAATGTCTCCTTTTATTTAATTTTCTCCATTATCAACTCCGTTTGGCCATTTTTTTACTGGTCGGTTGAGTATATTCTACAGATTATGAAATAAAAGCCTTTTTTAAATGGGAAAACGGACTAACTTGAACAATCCTAGTGTTATATGGATATGACCTGAAGCGATTCAAACGAACTCAAATGTGTGTTTGTTTCTTTTTTTAACGTAACTCTTTACATACTTCTTTGGTAGTAGTTCAAATAAACCCTATTGCATATATATATCACATTACATGGGTGTGTCGAATATAGACACATCCCGATGTGTTGCAATAATATCAATAGAATGCACCAGGACTTTCTATATGTTTTATATGATTCGTTAGACGGGTTAGTTACTTCTTTTCTATGTGTTGCATATCGAACACGCATTTTCCTACTTCAAATCCATATATTGCTCTCAATTATTTATTAAATTTATTTCGGTAAATATTAAATTGCCACACACGGAGTTTTAACAAATTAGAAAAATCCTGTGCATTCCCCCGTTTTATTCATTCCGTTCTTAATAAAAACATGGTAATGCACGGACTTTTTCTAATTTGTTCGTTATCTTTTATCTACTGACAGTCAATTCTATTTTTGAATTGTCAGATATACTCTCACCGTCTCATATAATAACTTTTCATCTTCAACTGAATAATAGTGAAATGAAATTCGATCGCGTGTCTGTTATCGCTCGGTAATTCAATCAGTTATATAGAAGGATAATTCGTGTTTGTCATGTTTGGCGTCACTTCCCGTTTCTTCACGTGCTTGTTACACAACTCCCGTAGCAATGATCTCTGTGTTAAAATTCACGTGTAATGAAGCGCTATATAAATCGAACAATAATAATAATAATAATAATAATAATATTTGGGATGTATTTAACCAGTTCTATCACATATTTTATAATGCCTGACACCAATATTGTCCTTTAAATTGTTCTCTGGTGGAAAATAACGCCTATTATAGTCTATATAAAAATACATTGGGTGAATCATTTTGAATTTTATACACAGAGCGCGTACATCCTGTTAAAGGGTCAGGGAAGTAAAACATTTGAAAGTTATTTAATGATGTTTTAAGATGATGTATGTGTGTTTGTATATGGTGTATTGTCAGTACCTGAAGTTGAAAGAACATTTAGGTGCATAGAACTTATTGACCCCATATATGATATTGACATTTTAACTTTGTAAATACTTCTGTTAGGAACGAACTGGCTCTGATATATAATTAAACACGTAATTAATCCCATATGTCATTTACAAGTTACTTGTGATCTGTGTACAAGCTCAGCCTAACTTCAAAGGAAATACGCATCGGCCAGTTAATGATACCATGACGTGATAAATAGACAATTCCATATCTGACGCTTATCCATTTTCACTATTGTCGAACGCTATATTAGTGGGGCGGTTAAGGAAGAATTTTTGGTAGAATCGTACATTTTGGCAGACAAACCCCAACCGAAAATGACGTCATAGATAAATCTTTTTTTCAAAAATCGTGTTAAGGTAGCAATTTCGGCTTTGGAAATTGCTGGCTTGAAATGATTTGTAAAAAAAATGTCTTGTTGTGACACCCTAGTTATATGTATTTCAATGGATAGGCGGCCATTTTGGAAAAGATGGCCGTAACGACCACCAGGGGGAGCTGCTGAGGTGGATCCACATCCCAAAATAATCAGTAGGGTTGATGCCATCTATGTGCCAAGTTTCATGCTTTTAACCCAAAGTGCACGATTTTTTGCCTAACCGCCCCACTAATAACCAGGAGTTTGCTGACAGTTAGAGCTATCGTAGACAAGTGTTTCCTAATGGATGCCAGACTCTCTCTCTCTCTCCCTCCCCCTTTCTTCCTAAACCCCTCCCCTCTCCCCCCCCCCCATAA